CTGATTGCTTCCACTGCCACATGTCCCATCCCCACAGAGTTGATCATTTACGTACTCTCAGTGGCCTTTACATCCTATTTGGCCATCTGCTTTCTGCTGTTCTATAATTCTTTTAATGTTGACCTCTCTTACCAAACTGGGCCCCGAGCCTTTGAGCCCAGAGACTGTGTTTCATAGGTATATTCAAGTTTCCAGCACTTAGCACAGACTTCAGGAGGTTTTTGGTCAGGTTAGAATAGATGAGTGAGAACCCTCAAAGCCACCACATGATATGAATGTTTCCTAGAGGTGTGTTTGAACTCAGATACCTGGGTTAGTCTGAGGCCAGCCTCTCCCTCCTGCACTCCTTCAGGGCTTCCTAACTGCCTCTGCTCTTGCCTCTACTCCTGCTCCTGCCTCTACTCCTGCTTCTGCTCCTAGTCTTGCCTCCGCTTCTGCCCCTACCTCTGCTCCTGCCTCTGCTCCTGTCATCTCTTCTCAGCACATCCTCTCACTCCTCTGCCCAGAACTCTCCAGGGGCTTTCATCTTACTCTAAGGAAAAGCCAAAGCTGTACGCTGTGACTCCCTAAGGCCTCCTGGACCTCACCTTTGCTACTTCTGGCCCCCACCATGCACACTCTCTGCTCCATGTAGAACTCCCTGCTCCTCCGGAAGCCTGCTGGACATTCCCTTGTCACAGCCTCTCATCCTGATTTGCCTCTGCCTGGAATGTTCTTCCAAATACTTGCATGGCTCACAACTTTACTCCTTGGGTCTTTTCTTAAATGCCCCTTCTCAGTGGTGCTTTATCTGTTTACCCTCTCCCCCAGCAGTCTCAATCCTTTTTCTTCACCTCATTCTCTTCTAGAGATGTGGACCAGAGGGGAATTCTGAGCCCTTAGGCTTTTCTGCTTCTCAGCAAGTATTTTGTTGAATGAATAAATCAGTGGATTGGCCAGAGGAGGAGTGCCCTCAGTGAGATGAGGGAGGTGGACATCGCCACATTTATCTGTTCTGAGGCAGAATGAAACAGAAGGCCTCTAGCCTCTCACAAATGCCGAAAAGGGTCTTGCACCTAGACATCAGAAGACACTTGTGACTGGGGCTGCCAGTACAGTTGTGCCCTGCAGGTAGCTGGGCCAAAGACATGGCTTCCATGTCAGTTCTCATAGCTGATCCAGGCAATTCAGCATTTACCCTCTGGACCTGGTAGCAATTAATGGTCTACCTAGGAATATCATCTTTACCATCTCCAGATGCCTTCTGAAGAGTGAAGAGGTGAAAGCAGGCAGAGAGCTCGAGGGCCATCTGTGGATATCCCCTACCTGGAGGCCAGAATCGCATCCCTGATCCCCACTCTCCCTCCTGCCTCACCTGGCATCCTGCTTACCAGGACGCCTTCGGGCTTCCCAGAGGGTTCACCAAGCCTTAAAACGGTCCTGCTGCTATTTTCACTATTTCTTATCCCACTGGCCCCCAAAACAGACTCCTAAGAGAATGCCAGGCCAGCACCCTGAGCCATGAGCAAGGGTGTCTGGAGCCCAAAAGCTTGCGTGAGCTTCCATAGGGTGGAGGAGCTGTAGTGGTTGACTAAGAGATGAGCCAGTGTGGCAGCTCCGCCCTCCGGCAGAGCCTTGAGGGCACATCCCTTCGAGCAGTCCCCGCGATGCCATCTTGCCCTTTCCCATATGAGCTGCGGGGGCCCCATTTTTTCAGGGCCACCCCGGCACCTGCAGATGCCCCACACCGCAGTGTCTCAACCCCGTACAGGGTAGAGGAGGGCCCAGAGGAAGGACACGAGTGTCAGTGGAGCACTGGCCAGTTTCTGTCAGGTCCATCAGCCCCAATCTGGGCCTTCCCACTGGAGGCACTTTCCCTGGTGCATCACCTCCTGGTCTGACACAGCAGAATCTTTCTCCTTGTTTTCGTTTTACCCCTTGGACTGCTTCATATAGCACATGAGGCTGAGAATGAATGAGAAACCACTTCTCAAGAGTCCATCAGACTGACCAGGTATAGGGATACTCCCCTCAGCTCTAACTGCCTGTAGGTGTCATCCAGGGAGAGACATTCTATGTTTTCTTACAAACCGTAAAAGCCAGCATTGGAGCCTTAGCTGTCATGGGTTTCTGGCCCCCAAGTCTAATCCAGGGACAGGCCAAGCTAAGTCCTGGAAGCAAGGAAAAAAATTCTCACTTGACCTCTAGTGACATGCCATGTAATCTGATTTGCTTTCCTATATGTCTTCCCATTCTGTACAGGTCACACACAGGCTTTGGTGTTGCATTTAAAGTCTCCTTTTTATAAAATTTAAAAGCTATAGAAGTTCTCAGATTGCTTTTAAAGAATTAGGAGCAAAGTTGCTTGCATTAGCCAGCCAGAGAAACAAACCGAGAAGCAACGCTTAACCTTTTCCAAATATCTGTGCACGCGCTCAGCTCTCATCAATAACTCCATTGATCATGGGGTGTTTTCCTTCTTCCTATTTGATAACAGCCATCCTCATGGGATGGACAGCGTGTCAAAGGTCAGCCGATAAGTTTCTGTATGCTTCCAGGTAAGAGAGCAGCAGCCATCAGCGAACACGGTGATACTACTGAGGGTGCCGTAAGTCTGTGCAGTCATGCCGTCACCCTTAGGAACAGTGTCCAGTCCAAGGTGACTGTGCCGCCCATGGCTTAGCAAGCACGTGGATTGTGCTCAAGATTCTTAAGACTGAGTCAGACAGGGTCTTCCTGCCTGGTTCCTGGTGGCTTTGGAGCGGGACTCTCTGCTCACATCATGCCTGTGCCTCCCTCTCAAAAGGTTAGGCTGGGCCCTAATGTCTCTCAATAATCCAGGGTATCTGTAGTATTTCTGCATTGTTAGGCTCTCTGGAATGTTCTGTCTTCAGCTGATGTGAATCCACCTTCAGGGTATCTCAGACACGCAGTGAAGGGTTTCTCTTCGTTGGCCACCAAACTCACTTAGGCTCTCAAGGAGTCCAGTGATAGAGTCATGTGAGGCGGAGGGCCACAGTGGGTTTGCCTTACTTGTTGGGGTCTCGTCATGGATTGGAGGAGACTAGCATGGCACCCAGCACTGAGTACTCACTGCCTGCCAGTCGCCTTTCTCAGCATGTAACAGCATCACCTCTTTCAGGAAGGAGGTAGGGAGAGGCAGGAGCCATAGGAAGTCCTCACTATCATCATCTTCCTTGTCCTAATGAGGAAAGATGTGCCCTCCGCGCCATCCGCCCGCAGAGCCTGGGGAGCATTCCCTTTGCTCTTTTCTCTTTTGCTCACTGAAACTAATACAAGGACAAACTTAAAAAATAAATAAATAAAAACTCAAGCAATACAAAAGGCCTGTTTTCCAGGGATGCACCAACTTCATCACTAAGGACCAGGCAGTGGCAGGCCCCACCTGCAGTGTTCCACGTGACCAGCCCAGGGGTAGGGATGGCATGAAGCATTTCCTCTGTGGGTGCCAGTTCTGGGAGCCCTGGACCCTGAGATTATAAATCAGCTCTTTCTCTACACGAGCAAGGAAAGGAAACATGAGGAAAATAAAAATATTCCAGAAGGGACATTCGTTGAAAGGTGAATTTCCTTAGCACTCCAGACCATGTCACTCCATTTCCCTCTCAGTGGCATCCACACCAACCTGAGAGATTCTTGTAGGAGCCCGTGCACGTTTATAAGCACCTCCGCAGCTTCTTTCACTCCTCGGGATGTCCAGAAAAGGTTTCCATGTCAGTACGTAGAAATCTGTTGTGTTTTAGGGTGTTATTTGAGTTTAAACAGTCAGCTAATTAAATACAGCTTTGAGTTTATTTCACGTCTCTAGCTTCTACTCTGACAATGCCACTATGGCATCCTGTGTAGGTTTCTTTGTACCCTGTGTGTCCCCATATGTCTGTAGGGTGGATTCCTACCGGTGGAATTCAGAGCCCAGGATCCTGAACACCTCTGAGCACTCCCGAGGGCTAGCCCGCCCCCAGAATGGTCAGGCGAGCCTGGCTCTCCGGGTCTCCTACAAGGACAGCACATTCTGCAGGAGGCCACCCCTGGGACTCAGAAGTTGGCTGGGGTTCCAAGCCCAGTGTGCTAGCAGAGCGAGCTCCAGGTGCCACAAGGGTGTGAGTTCCCTCCACTGGTAGCTACTCAGGGTTGCCTCAGGCACAGCCCAAGTGAAAGCCTGGGGTTCCAGGTCACAGCTCCCTGTTCCTTTTTGACGCTTTCTCTGGCCCTGCTGGTCTGTCCTCTGGTCCCCCAGGCTGCCCGTTCACCAGGTGACCCGCATCATGTCCTTTTGCCCACCCCATGTCTCCCTGGGATGTGTTAGTTTCCTGCGCTCCCTCTGGATCCTGGAAGGGACTGGCCCTGCCCCGTTCTGGGCACCCGCACAGGAGCTGCTGGGGCCTCTCTTTGCAGGGGGACCAGCGTACTTCACCTCCGATCACAGGTCCTCAGGCTGTTTCCCTGGCTGTGGCCTTAGTGCAGCATTACAATCGTCTTCAAGCCCTGAGCCCCCACCAAGGTTCCAACCCCACAGTGGGTTCCCTCAGCCGTGTCCCTGCAGACCCCTCCGCTTCACAGTCACAACCTGCACTCGCAACATAGCGTCATGCTAGGTAACTGCCAAATTAGGTAGACACTGAACAGGTCTTTGGAATTGGAGGGGAGAACAGAAGAGCTGGTGAAGGTGGGCCCGACATGGAGCTTCAGGGCTGGAAGCTTCCATAGCGAAGCTGATGGTCCTGACAACGAAGAGCCACTGCTCGCCACCGGCCCGATGCTGCACCCGCGCCACTGTTCCTCTCGCCCTCCAGCCCCTGCGGGCCCTACTGCTGTCTGCTCGTGGATGAGGCAGCCCCTGGGTAGAAAGAGGTGAAGACCGGGCCCAGGGACACATTCTGGCTGGGCCTGATTCCCATCGAGTCCGCCTGTCCCCCCTGGTCTGGGCAGCGGGCAGCCAGGGGAGCGCCCCCCTGCCCCGAATCCTTGCTCCCTTGACTAATGGCTCCTTGTCGTTTCAGGACTTCTGTCACGGGCAGGTGATGTGGCCGCCCCTCAGCGCCCTGCAGATGAAGCTGGCGGAGCCTGGGCAGTCCTGCAAACAGGTGTGCCAGGAGAACCAGCTCATCTGTGAGCCCTCTTTCTTCCAGCACCTCAACAAAGACAAAGACATTCTGAAGTGAGTCCTGTGGGTCGGGAGGGCTGGATTGAGCTTCAGCTGGGCTGAGAAGGCCGAGGTTCTCAGGGAGCAGGTCCCCCAGGCCCCCAGAGAGTTAGCCTGGCGGCTTTGTTGTCGGGTGGATGAGGTCACCTGGTGTGCCGCTATATTTAGAACTCCAGTGGGGATGTTGTATTGGTGTAAACAGTGTGTGTTAGGGATTGGAGATTGCAGGAACTGTTCGGTTTGTTCATGGTACACCCAGGGAACTGCGGGCGTGGAGACAGACCTAAAACCACGAGCCCGGAGGGCCCCACCCCTGGGCTCCCCCTGGCAGAGGCTGGGTGTGCAGACGGCCCCTAGCAGAGCCTGAGTGGTGCAGGGGGCAGGTGGGAATCTCCAACCCCAGAGCGCAGAAGGAATGAAAAATCCGCGTCAGGAGCTGGCATCGAACTGCCCGCAGTAAATCCCATTACCACCTTCCCCTCCTGCAGCTCCTATCCCCGCTTGCACTCAATGCCAGCAGCCTTGGGGCATGGAGCGTTGCCCGGGCACGTCTGCCGGGTTCTTCAGCAGGGAGGCAAGGGCGGCCTGGGGAGCACAGGCTGGAGCAGCGCCCACACGGGGCCCTCTGGGTGGCTTGAGTTCTTCCCCTCATGCCTGCGTTACTTGCAGTGATCCTGTTCACCTCCCTTGGCATTGGCATGTGCAGATCCCACGTTTCTACGTGAGGTCTCTTCTGGCCTCTGACTTGTGACCCCATGTCAGTGCTAAATCTGTGCTCCCCATTTTTATGACACCCACCCTGGGCCTCCTAGTACTTAATTACCCACGACCCTGCATAGCTCTGGTTAAGTGCTTTCCCTTGAGGGACTTGCTGTCCCGACCCGAGGTATTTGGTAGAGGAGTGGTACTGTCCAGTCCTGAAGAGGAGGGTTAAGAAATGGGCTAGACTCACTGCTCATGACTTGCCTCTCTCCGCTCTGGCTTCATGCCCTGTTACAGCCGTTGGCCACTGTGGCTATCCGGGCACAGAGGCCTGAGCTGGTGGCCTGATCCTGTCTGTACATCTTATTATTCTCAAGCATGGAATAAAACCCTTCTTAGAGAGCTTGGCCTCTCGCTTCTCGCCTTGCAGGAAAGCTCTCCTGAGGGATGTGGAGGATGCTGGTTTTTCCCTTTTTTTTTTTTTTTTTTAATGTGAAGATCAAGATCAGAGGCTATTTGATTCTACTATCAAAATAAAGGCCAGAAGAGAGTCAGCTTGGCACCCTACTCTGTCACCAGTGAAACTTTGTGAGAGGGGGTGGTGGTCTAATATTTAAGGAAAGACTAATGGTATAGAAGCTTCTGTTTCCGTAGCACGGAAACCTGAATTCGGGGGTTCCAGGAGGGGCTTCCTACTGGCTCCTTTTGTGGAAAACTTCCGTAGCAAGGTAGCTTTCTGAGAACCCCTAGTATCTCCCTGTTTATATGGAAATCTGGATTCGCTGGGGCTAGACTAGGGACTGTGTTCAGAGATCTGACTACGTGCGGTCTCCATCTCCACCTCTGCAGGGGGAAACGTGAGAAGGTGCATCCCGAGAATGGAACCCAAATGGGCCACCTCTAAAGCACGGCCCTTCCTTCTTGGCCGGGCAAGAGTCAGGGCTCCTGCCTGGGTCCGATGATCAGGGCCTGGCTCAAGTGGCACAGGGCCCCACACAGCTGGCCTGTCTCTGGAGCAAAGGTCTAGGTCCCGTGGAGGGACAGAGAGGGGAGCCCGGAGGTTAATTTCCTCTGTTCTTTCAAGTTCTAACCTATAAGATGGGGCATCCTGTGTGATGATGAGGGAATGTGTAGCTGGTGGCCAAGATAGAGCAGAACAGCCCCTTCATCCAGAGAGACTTGGGCAGTGTATCAGGCTCGAGGCTGCCAGGCTGAGGCTAGAAAAGCCAGTCCCCTCCCCATCCTCCTTGTCCACCTCCTCAAACCCTACAGAGCCCCTGAGGGCGAAGGCCTCATGGGGCTGTCCTGTGTCTAGGCCTTGTGCCTTGGGATTGCTTCACACCTGTTTCCCAAACCCCACTATAGTTATGTGGGTTTTCTCCCAAGGAGACAGCAATGAATGCTAATTTTGTAATAAAGCTGTCTCAGATTAATTCCCTGAATATAAGAGCCCTATTGAATACCTTGTTCCTGCATTTGTAAATACTGATAATGCTGTAAAACCCCAGCTATCTGGTGGTCTGTTGAGTGCCTCCTCAGTACGAGGCAATCCTGGTTCCTCTGTATTCATGGCCAGTTAGCAAAATGAGTGACTACTACAAGCCCATGCTACTTCTCCTTCTCCAGCATGGGACCTGGTTCTCAGCTTAAGCTCCTTTTAGTCTTTTGGTGCCCATGACCTTGAAGAACCATTGAAGAACTATCCATCCCCATTGGGTAGTAGGAACTTATATCACATAGATCAGGCCCTTTGGAGTGTCCTGTGCTGTCGTCTTGAATTAGGGGCAATCAGGCAGCTGGTCATGGAGCTGCCTTTCACGCAGGGCATGAGGTAGGTGCTAGAGAGGCGCCCACAAACTCCTGTGCACAGAACATGCATGAATCAGTTGTGCTAACACAGACCAGGGGGTGGGGGCCCAGAGGCAGAGGCCCCGGGAAAAGCCAGAATCGGAGCTGGGATGGCCCCCTAGGAAGGACCTTGGCTCCATAAGTAGGAACACATGTTAATGTGATACCTGTTTTGTAATATTGCTACCTTTTCAAGTTACATCTTCTAAAATATGAAATGGTTGAGTTTGGCAGTTCTTTTTGAAGATGGGGAACTCTAAACCGTGAAGTCTAGACCATGAGCGCTGTGGCACCTGAGTCAGAGAGGTCACGAGTGAGTTTGGGGGACTTGGTGGACTCAGGGTCAGAATAAGCAGAGCAGAGTGGGTGACGGAGGAGAGAAACTCAGGGGCAGGGAAGGGAGGAGTAAGACCCGTAGATGGGATCCTGCTTGCATCCGTTCATCCTGTGTCTGTCTGTCTTGTTGGGAGGGAGGGATAAGTTGTTTCTACCCCCTCAGGATGTCGGCAGCCCCATGGGGAGATGGGACTTTGCCCTTTTAATCTAGGTCCAGAGCTATAAATGTAAACCAAGGGCTGCTGGCCTCAGAATCCCCTCCCATCCTGTGAGAGGCCAGCTGGGGGGAGTTCAGCATGGCAGTGTCCCACAGAAGGGGAGCGGCAGTGTGCTAGGAGTCTCTGGGTGGGAGTGAGAGTATGTGTGGCGGAGAGAGTGTGCGTCTGTGTGTGTGTGTGTGTGTGTGTGTGTGTGTGTGTGTGTGTGTGTGTGAAAGAGACACAGACAGACATCACAGAACAGGGAAGCAGACGCAACAACATGCAGGCTCTGAGAAGGCAAGGGCTCCCCCGGTGGGGCGTGAGGACTGCTGGTGCATGGAGGCTGGTTTCCAGATGCACTCCAGCAGTTGGGGAAAATCAGCTCACCCCCCTGACTTTTGTCCCCTAATTCAGCAAGGACAGCGCAGTGCTCTTCCTCACTGCCCAGGGCTGTGAAACAGGGACCTGCACACTAATGAAAGGGGGAGCTCCCTGGGGGCCAGGCGGTTGGACGGCATCCAGAAGGGTCTGGAGCCATATATGCCCAGAGCCCCACGTTGACCGAACCATCAGGGAGCTGCCCTGTGACAGGTCACGTATAGTTCTGGGGAACAGTGCTACTTGAGCACTTCGTGGTGGTCTTTGGACATCGTTCCCCACCAGGCTGCTTCTGCTGCGGCCTCTGTAGACATGTGTTCGCAGGCTTGTGTACACGTGAGCTCACATCCTGGGAGCACGTGACTGGCGTCTGCGCTGGGTAACCAGGGGCAGGAGGCTTTCCTCATGGCTCCTGACAGTTATACCCCTGCTGTGGGGTCTGAGTTGTAGAGATTCCCACACCCCTGGGTAGCCGTGTACTCGGCAGGTGGCTGGAGTTAAAACAGAGCCAGTCCTAGAATTCACCTAAATAAGGAAATAACCTAAGCATCACCCTTATTCTAAAGCTGTGTTCCGTATAGAAACCTGGAAGGCACAGATGAATTCTGGAGAACCCTTTCTGTGGGTAGGCCAGTGGGGGTATCCTGTGAAGGACCTGGTAGCCGAAATCTCTTTTTTTTTTAGAGAAATACATAAATCCCCACTTCCTGTCCTTGTTTTCATGGTCTGTGACCTTATCTGTCTGGGTGCCTACATCTTCCAGCTGCTACACCAAGACCAGAGGTGTCACAGCTTTGAGGGAGCTCGCTGGTGACTACAGGAGCACCCTTAAAGTGGGTGCTGCCCTCCTGAGCATGAAGAGCCAGGCAGACAGGCTCAGAGAACTCACTAGAAGCCCTAACTGATGTGCTGGGAACTGTCCAATTCATGTTGGCAAGGGCAGGCATGGGCCAGGCAGTTCGTTGGCTGGAGGAAGACGAGAGGGGGCAGGGGTAAGAGGGAATATGGTGCTTTCCACCCAGCGTTTGGAGGCTTTCCAGAGGCAGCAGGAAACCTAGAGTGCCCCATCTGGATCCGCACCCTGTCAGCAAGAATCGAGATTTAAGTGTACAAAGCAAAATGGAGATGCTTGGCATGTGCATAAATTCACAACATGGGGCAAGGGAGGGAGGTCACAGAGCGCATCCAGGGCTGGGTGACCATGGTGACAATGACGATGTGCAGTAAGGGTAAGAGTTACCGCTGATTGCATACCTACCCAGAGCTGCGCTCTGCCAAGTGCTCTATAAGCACTGATTTAATTTCTGCAGCTCCCACAGGGGTTCAGGATGATTTGCCCCCCACTCCACAGAAGAGGAAACTGAACCAGAGAGAGGCTCGCTCGTTTGTTCAGGGTCTCCTGGCTCATAGAGATGAAGTCAGGACTCAAACTCAGGGCTGGCTGGACCTCCCCCCGCCCCTTCTTCTCTGGCGTTAGGATAGCATGCCGGACATCTGATGAGGCCTCCTTGCTCTCGGGGCCACAGGGTGGGTGGGACCAGTGTACCCCAGGCCAGAGGAGAGGGTACGTGGCTCTTCTTGGAGCTAACAGGCCGGCACAGGCGGTGGCCCCAGCCTGAGGAAGCACAGCCACATGGCTCTGCAGCCCACAGACCTTTCAGCTGTGGGGGGAGGATGACAGAGGAGTAGCAGCGCGGGTCTGCAGTCAGGGCTTGGATTAGGAGTCCTGCTGTCTGTCCACAAGCCTCAGGCACTTAGCTCTCCGGAAGGGGTGGGAGGGAGCCTACTGCCCTGGACCAAGGGACTGCGGAGGCGCAGTGGACTGATGCCCGGGACCCCCACCCCCGGCCCCAGAGACCACTGATGGCTTTCCAGTGGGAGACTGAGGCCATGTCACATAAATCTTTAAACCATCAATAAAAACATTAAACATTTTTTAAAACATTTAAATAAATGTACGCCTTTGTCCCAGTTCTCACTCCCCTGGAGTAACCCTTGTGAAGGCTTTAGGGTGCAGCCCTCTCCGGTTTCGGGGCGCACACACACACAGGCTGAGCCACTCTACATCTCGTTGTGTTACTTGCCTGCCTCCCTCAAAGACAGCTCTCCGAGGTGGTTCTTGCATCTCTACCTCCTGCTTTCTCAAGGGCCACACAGACCTCCGAAAAGCGCAGATGTGCTACAAATTATTCAGCCCTTCCCCACTTGGTGAGAATTCGGATTATTGCCATTTTTTTCTCCATTACAGACAGTGCTTCTGGGAGCAGCCTCGAACACATTCTCACACACACACACACACACACACACACACACACACACACACACACACACACCTTTCTCGAGCCTGGACTCCTAGCGGTGGGGAATCACTATGTCATAGGGTGGCTACTGGTTCCTTTTGAGGGCAGCTGAACTGTCCGTGCTCCCCATACCTCCGGAGGTGGGCGGGGGGAGCCGATGACCAAGCTAGTCCCTGCACCTCCAGTCCTCATGCCTTTCTCTCCCTCTTCAGGTACGAGGTGGTCTGCCAAAGCTCGGAGCTGGCCAAGGACATCCTGGTGCCGTCCTTCGACCCCAAGAACAAACACTGTGTGTTTCAAGGTGACCTCCTGCTGTTCAGCTGCGCGGGCGCCCACCCCAGGCACCAGAGGATCTGCCCCTGCCGGGACTTCATCAAGGGCCAGGTGGCTCTCTGTAAAGACTGTCTATAGCGGCCGTGGCTCGGCCTCACACTCACTCTGCGGGGGGGACAGTGGCTCCAACCCCACTGGGGCAGCGCCAGGGGGCCAGACGTGTCATTCAGGGACTCTGGCCAGAGCCTGAACTGTACGGTGGGAGGTTTCGACGTGGTGTCGCTCCTTCTGCGGTGGGAGAGCCCCACAGCCGAGCTCCCCTCCCCAAGAACAGAATGAGCAGATGTCAGGCCGGGCGCCTGGCTTCTCCCTGGCACAACTTCATTTTTATTTCTCGAAGAGACTGTGTCGATGCAGCTGCTCCGAGGTAGAATGAGAGTATCAAGATTCATTTAAAACAGAACCAGAGGAGGAATTGGAGCTGGTCGGAAAGAACTTTATACGGGAACATTCCTAAACCCCATTAACTTATTTATTTGGGAGGGAGGGGGTGGGAGCAGGGGAGGGCAAGGAGGGATTGATCACACGTCTTGTTTCTCTGATTTCCCACTGTTTACTGTCCACCTTCACTGTATTATGACTCCTGTCTGCTTCCAGAAGGAAGCAGGAGGGAGACAGGATGCACTGTGGGGCCGGTGGCTCGCTTGAGGGCAGCTGTGGGGACCTAGCTCCTCCAAGTAGTCGGTGGCAGAGCAAAAGCAAATGTTGTGTGTGCTTGACAGCTGGCAGCTAGGGGACAGGTAGCTCCTGGGCTTGGGAGGACAGTCCTGTGTTATCCTGAGAGCCCAGCCGGGGACCAAAGATGGGGCTGCTTTGCAGTGAGAGCTCCTTTCCTCAACCCTCCCCCTCCTCTTCCCATCTCATTCTCTCCCCCCCTCCCCTGCCCTCAAACACACACACACACACACACACACACACACACACCCCTTGGCCCTGATTTCTGATGAGGATCCCTTTAGGAAAGAAATGCAGGATTGGGTGACTGACATTGGCTGGTTGGTGGCAAATCCGCCCTCCCTCAGATGTCCCTGGAAGGAGGGACATAGAAACTCAGGACTACACGTCATGCTTGCTTACCCCCGAGGAGGGTTATCCGAGCTGGGGTGTGGACAGGCATGAAGCTGGCCCTGAGAACCAGTGTCGCCACCAGAGCTGTGCTCCAGACCGGTGGGCTTGGTGTTCTGTTCCTTCTAATGTCTGAGGTCACCAAAGTCCTGGGAATGAGGCTCTCAGCGGACCTGACGTTGGCAGGGGGAGCAGGAACAGGCCAGGACGGTGTGCGGTCCTGGCCTGTCACCTGTGGGGGTGCGTGTGTGTGTCTTGCACAGAACTGGAGTCTGATGCTGGCTCTTACCCAAGGCACGAATACTCTGAGGGGGACATTCTGAGCTGGCAGGTTGGCCCAGCCAGGCCCCGTGGGGTACCCCCACTAACCCTGGAGTTCCCAGCCTCCACCCCAACCGGCAGCGCGTCCGTGCTCTGGCTGCAGTGTGTGTGTTTCCTTTGAAGCCCCTGGCATCTCCATGCTGGCGACCGTGAGCCCGCTTCTCCCTCTTGCAGAGCGTCCCGCGCAGGTGGCATGGAGCGCCTTGGTCACCTAGGCAAGCACGGGTCACCCCGCGCTTCCCAGCACCCCGCCTGCCGTCCTGGACGGCCAGCCCGCCTCAGTCTGCCAGGACAGTTCAGCAGGGCCCCTGGCCCGGTGGGCCTTCAGGAAGTGAGCTACGTCGGGATTCCTGCCTCTTGAGGACCACAGGGCACGTGGAGCCCTTAGGTGTGGGAAGTTAGGGTGTGCCTGCCCCCTGCCCCCCCCCGCCCCCCCAGTGCAGAAGTAGTTATCAAGTGCACAGCCAGCCTTGGTTTTTCTTAGACTCTCAGTGGGTCTGAATTTCACCCCTAATCCCAGAGAGTGAAGGGAGTGAGGCGGAGCAGCCGGGGTCTCCTCCACCCCTCAGGTGACCCCTGACCTGAGCACGTGTGGGGGGAGTTCTGGCAGGGAGCATCAGCAGGGGCCCCTCAGGAACTAGCTGAGAGCACCCTCTGCCTGGGCCCAGCAGCAAGGGCGTAAGTCCAAAGGGAATCTTGGTGATAAGGGGTGTGTGTGTGTGTGTGTGTGTGTGTGTGTGTGTGTGTGTGTGTGTGAAGTTTTGCAAGGGTAATTCCTGCTGTAGGAGAAACAACTGCCTTCCGTGTCGTTAGGAACAGCTTTTCCTTATGAAATGAGTCTCCTGGTTTCACCCTAGGTGGTGGGAATTCCCTTGAGCGCCCAGGGCTGCAGTTCCTGGGTCAGTGCTGCCCTCTCCTGGGCTCTTCTGGAAGCTTCCAGAGGTGAGGATGTCATGCAGGCATTGGGCCAGCAGGGGGAGCCGGCAGGCTGACGCGCGATTACTCTAACAGGACCAGATTAACCCATTTTGCAGAGCTGTTTCAGTAAGCCCAGGGACTCAGAGAGCAAGGAAGCTGGAAAGCAACGTTCCCAGAAAGATGCTGTGTCTGCCTGGTGTTCCAGAAGCTGCAGGGATTGTTGGTGGCTGGCCTGTTTGCTGAGCTCAGGGCCTCTTCACCCTCCCCATTCCTCTCCTCTACTCAGGACTCAGGTCTAGCAGCCCAACAGAACACTTTCCTGCACTTGAGGATCCCTGTGCCTCCCCCCCAAGTCCAGTAGTGGCCAGGAGGACCCCGAGTTCTGCACATAGAGCTGCTGCTCCCGGGGCAGACGCACACTCCAGGTGTCTGGGGCATTAGGCGGCGACACCGAACGTATAGCGGCTCCCGGACCACCACAACCTTGGCCCAAATCTAGTCAGTGGCCCCCAAGAGGGAATTGGGGAGGGAGCCTCCATCCGCCCAGGGTGGAGGGGGCACAGTTCCTGGCTGCCCCCGGGAGAGGACGGTGCCTCTCAGTAGGATCCGGGAGCCTTGGTGGTTTTGCTGCTGCCAATCTGAACAGAATCCTAAACCAGTTTTTAATTGATGATTTCCACAGGGACAGAACTCCTGAGTCAGATCAGTGTCTTCCTGTGTCCTAAGCATACCTTGCCCTGTCTGTAAGTTTTTTGTCTTTTTTTTTTCTCAAGTAAAATTTGGCTTATTTACCCCCACTGTGACCCTAAATTCTTAAACATGAGAAATTAATTTATTAAAAGAGAGAAAGCTTTCCTTTGAAACGTAAACACTTTGAGAAGTAAAAACTCCTGAAAGGGGAAGCACACTCCTTCTAATGCCAGTAAAAACCTCCTTTATTTCGTGTATATAATTTGATTTGCACATGTACAAATGGAGACACTTTTTTGCGTTTTTGCCGGGATTGGTTTTTTTTTGGTCACTGCTTTAGTTTGCTTTTTTTGTGTTTTCTCTGTTTTGAAATAGTGTTTCTTTGGTATTTATTGTTTCTCTGACGTGCCTTTTGACTTTTCTTTGGGGTCGGTTTTTAGAAGGTGGGAACCATTTAAGGAAGATCATAGACCCCTCCTGTTTGAAGATAGGACATATCTTTGTGTCACCATAGATGCTCTGGCTGGGCACCAGAAGTGCCCTCCAGGCCCTGGGCCACAGCATGTGTGCTCCCTCACCCCCGTGAGGCCATGAGAACCCCCAAGAGAAGAGCTGGCTTCCTCTGGCCGCACCCCCCCCCATGCCCTCCCAGGCTGCTCCACATTTTTGGATCTGAGGACTGCTGGTTGCCCATGTGCCAACAGGCCTGGGCTCCCTGCAACCCAGGTACTTGGTGACATGTGGTTGGGGCACAAGACCAGTGCCATCTGAGAGGTTGCACTGGAAGAGAAGCTGTCTCCACTGAGTTCATTAGTAGCATTGACCCCAAAACTCTTGATCTGATTATCATAAAGGGGAAGCATATGCACCCGTTGTTTCCTTAGGGAACACAGGGTTCAGCAGAGGTGATAAAAATGCTGTGTACAGGTGGGTTTGTGCTTTTGAGACCAGACCAAGGTAGGCCACCCCAATTCTCCAAGGTGGTTGACCTAGATTGTGTATATCTTTGGGACAGTACTACCCTCACCAATGCCCCCCCCCCCCCCCAATCCTTGATTTAAAAAAAAAAAAGTATTTTTTAACGACAGGCTCGGTTATGTTCCTATCCCAAGCCTGGATTACTGTATTTATTTTAAAATATTATAATTTCCACATTGGCTTCATTCTAATCCTATCCATCCCATCCCTGTAGGGCTGCAGAGCCCCTCCCTGTGAAAAGATGGATGGATGGATGTAGATTCAGACTTCTTTAGGGAGGTGGGAATTCGCTAAAGCTGAGGATGAGTTCTTTCATGCTCGTTGGCTTCAACAAAAACTGGAAACTTATGTTTTTATAGCTAAAGGCCAAATTAGCTGTATAGTCTTGGGTGCAGAAAAAAAAAAAAAAAACTTACCCTAGCTTTCTTAGCACCTAGGGTTTTTGTGAGGATTCAGTGTTTAGCCGTGTCTGGCACATAGTAAACCCTCGTAAATGTTAAATATTGTTATTATTAGCGTTTCATAAAATTTGAGAAATAAAGAACTAAGTAATACCTATATGAAAATGCTATTCCAAGTTGGAGTGTTGTAGGAATTTCTGATTTAGGATGTCCAAGTCCCATGCCCATCCTGCTGGTTGAAACGTTACTGTATCCCTGAATGCACTGATTTGCAAATAGGCCTGATGAAACTAGGCTGTAAGAATTTGTGAACGGGAGATGAAAAGGGTGACCCACGTGCTTGACCTCACCCCACTGATGTCTTCTGGACCATTCTAGGGTTCTTCTTTGTAGGACTTTCTGAGCTAGAAATTAAGTTCTCTGACAGACTGTACCCCTTACATCAAAGTTATCTATATTCCTCTGAAATGAAATAAGACTTTCTGCGTTTTATTTGAGGAGAAAGGCTTGACCAGGTGAACTTTCTCATTCCCCTGGAAGTCCCTTTGCTGGTCCCTGCTGGCGGGGCAGCCCCTCCACGGTCCAACCCACAGGGATCAGACCCTGGGCTGGTTAGCAGTCACGTGTTTGTTTTGAACCCATTCCTTGAGAAGACCCACCCCTCCCCCAGGCCAGCTCGGCTAGCTGGGGACCCCAAGGCTATCCGACCACCCAGGTGGAGCAATTGGGGGGGGGGGCAGGGGGTGCAGAGTGTCTTCAGAACCACTCCCAAGAGGCTGCTCATGGTTCAGTGAGGTTTCCTCAAATCACCAAAATACTATTTGCTTTTTGTTTTCTTGGGGTTTTAGCCTCTTTCTTCCCTGTTGTAGAGTTTTATCTCCTATCTTGGCACTATTCTGGATGGGCTGCAGTTGGGCATATGGAGGAGTGTGCTGGAGTCCGGGTTCTTCCTAAGTTCCTTCGGATTCTTTAGCCGAATCCGCAGTCTTGTGTGTTTGTGGATGTAAGGTTGGAATTCACCTTCTTCAGAGCATCATTCCCTCTCACCCCAGATTCTGTGGCGCCTTAGGACCACCCCCCCCCCCACCGGGCCGCTGGTGAGGCGCAGCAGAGGGCAGCTGTGTGCTCTGGGGGGGCGGAGGCGGTAGTGCGAGCTCAGACAGTGGCCAGTGGCACAGGCCCTGAAAGCCTTGCTGGAACAGCAGGACAGGAACTCCGCGCGGTCCGCCCCCTCCGCCGGAGCCAAGATGGAGCAGGCTTTGGCTCACTGTCATGCCCACGTATTAACAGGACAAGAGCAGAACAATCGATGCCAAAGGAGATGGTGACATCCTTTCTACTGTAGTTGCTGTCACAGCCTTGATGTCCTTAAGCTAACGGCCGTTTGCGTGTGTGTCTTCAAACAGCTCCTGGTACAACCATTTTCTACTGTTCACTTCCGGGGTTAAGTAGTGCAGGATCCTGCAAATAAGGTGTCGCTGTCCAAATGTACTGTACCTGCATAGAGAACACTGCTTTGTTTGCCAGTGTTGTAGAGAAAACTAGGGAGAACTTTATTTTTCAATAAACTTTTGTTGTGTGACAAGTGGCAGTGGTTTTTTGGGGGTTCTGGGTTGGGTGCGGGGTCACCTGCGGCACAAACCCAATCCATGTGCCAACGCCCCGAGGGAAATGCTGATGAGAAGGTACGTTTAAGGAGTGGGGCAAGAAAAGGTTTTAGGATCATGGAGTCATTCCCTTATGTGGCACCCACCAATGCTAATTTCAGAGCACTTCCCCTGTCCTGCAGTCACCTACAAGGGAATGGAATTGGAAAGTGGATTGGGGTAAGTAAGTGGGCTTTTTTGGGGGGGTGGGAGATGCCCTGGAAAGAAGGACAGTCACGTCCATGCCCACACCAAAGGCTTGTCTGAGGTAATGCTGGAGGGCCATGGCCAGCCTCCATGAGGCCAGCAGAACTCGCAGCTACTGCCTGCCTGGAATGCAGACACCTCGCAGTTCCCATCATGCATCTGTGGGACACAAGTCCCTAAAAGTGCCAGAAAAAACTCGAGTGCTTAAATTTGGGAGGGCACTACACCATTAGCTTCCCCTCCCTAAGCTTCTGTACTGTATGCTAGACACCGTGAGGAAAGAAATCTATTGAATCTTGCATTTCCCAGACCTGCTCATATAGTCAATCAACCAACCCTTTCTTCCATGTGACATATCCGTATCCCTTGGAACACTCCTCAAAATGCTGTTGGAGGAAGCCACGCAGGAGGTGTCGGATTAAATCAAGGTTAGTGACCCCTCAGAACGAACCACCTCCCCTCAGCTAGCCAGAGACAGGCCCCTGGGAGCCGGGGCAAGGGGGGTAGGGGGGGCGAGGCCCAGGGAGCCTCATCCCGCAGTCCCAAGCACCACCAAATGAATGTGCAGCCCCTGCCCCTCACAGGGCCTGCAGCGCCCATCAGGACGGTCCTTCGGGGTCTCCCCACTCACCACCCCCAGGCACCAGGGAGGGACCCCCTCCCTGGCAACAGAAAACCTGCCCGGCACAGTGACCACAACGCTCCAAGATAACCTCCCCGTACCATACAAAACAGGTAAAGGTCTTTATTGGTCAGACACTGTCACCTGGACAGGCAGCAGTGCCGGAGGTACAGAACGTTGTGTGACGGGGGAACATTTGCACGGAATCTACACCTAACGTTACATGAACAGAGAACACCTTGTTCCTTACGGAGGGGCAAGCCATCTCTAACAGACTGTAATGTACCATTACCACTTAACACAGCATATAGATATATGCATATATGGATAGATTATATAATTATTTATTACAAATAAACTGTAGTTTCACATCTCTCAAAAATGGATCCTGTTTTTACATGTATGTTCAGGTTCTGAATGTACAAGAAAGGGTCATGTGCTTAGTTCAACCATGCAAAGCTCATACGAGTATCACTAAGTACTTTAAAAATAGAATGGTCTCCTTTTGAACAAATCTGTTTAGATTCAGGATTAGTAAAACAGTATGAAACTAATGAAGTACCTTGGTAGAAATTAGAAAGTGATGTGGACTGATGGTTCTGGGTATGTAAAGGGGTGAGGGACGAAAGGTATGGTCTTCCCTTAAAATCTGCCAGGAGATAAGAGACTCTGGACCTGGAGGTGGCCGGGGGGCCACGGGGAGTCCCGCGGAGGTGGGGCGGCTCGGTTGCTATCCGTTTCAGGCTGAGAGCACCACAGGGGAACTTTCTGCCAAGCAGAGATCTTACCCTACCCACAAGAATCTTTTTTTTTAACTCCAGAAAATAGAAAAGGTCAGTTCTTGCTGGAGGTGGGGAGACCTGTCCCCGCTCCCGTGCGCCTTGTCCTAACAATGGTTGACGGGGGGCAGTGGAGCAAAGGGGAACAGCGCAGACTGACCTGCCGGGCAGACCTTGTTCCCATGAACACAAACTTTCCAAAAAAGAAACTGGATGTTCAGTGAAATATTGGCACCATCTGCCTGTGTGGAAACTTCGTCATCCTGACGGTCTTCTGCGGACACAGAGCAGCGGGCTCTGGCCCCGCTGGCCACTGTCACTCAAACATCTCGTAGTGGCGGGTCTGCCTCACCCTGGGCACCATGTCGATGAGGAGTCTGCAAAACGGAAGCACAGAGGTCACCCCAACATGGACCCCCTGTGGCCCAGGGGCTTGAGCACTGGGGGAAGTAAACAGAAGGCTCTTTGAAAACTGTAACTCATGTGCCATAAAACTCAACCTTTTAGAGTGAACAACTCCCTGAGTTTTAGTATATTCACAGGTTGTACAAACCATAATCACCGTCTAATTCCAGAACATTTCCATCACCCCAAAAAGAAACCCCAATCCCACCTGCAGACATTCCCCATCTTCCCCTGAGGCCCACTGATCTACTTTTTGGGCTATTCTGGATATTTCCTCCGTGTGGAACCATGTAACAGGTGGCCTTTTGTGCCTGGCCGCACTTGTACCTGTTTTTGAGGCTCATCCACGTTGTAGCATGGAGCAACGCTTCATTCTTGGTAGGGGCTGAGGAATATTCTACTCCGTGGCTCTACTATGTTTATCCATTCATCGGTTAACAGACACTTGGGTTGTGTCTACTTTTTGCCTACCATCGGTAATTTCGCTGTGATCGTTCATGTGCAAGTCAGTACGTGAATTTGTGTTTTCACTTCTCCGGAGTAGACAGGTACCAGGAGTGACAGTGCTGGGTCAAGTGGGGACTCCAACATTTAACATGTTGAAGAGCTACTCGGCTGTTTCCAAAGGTGCCGTCCCATTGTACATCCCACCAGCAACGTCTGAGGGTCCTAATGTCTCCTCATGCTGGCCAACCCTTACTGTCCATCTCTTATTATAGCTGTCCTCATGGAACACAGGGAGCCCTTTAACAGTTAAAAACCCAGTGCGCCTTGGGGCACCTAAATGGCCAGGGGTTGAGCATCTGCCTCTAGCTCAGGTCATGATCTCGGGGTCCTGGGGTCGAGTCCTGCATCAGGCTCCCCGCAGGGAACCTATTGCTCCCTCTACTTATGTCTCTGCCCCTCTCTTTGTGTCTCTCATGAATAAATAAAATCTTAAAAAAAAAAAGGCAGACAAAAGTAAAACACTGCCCACCACAATAATACCGGGCCCCTGCTGGGGGCTTTTCTAGTCACCTGACCTCACCCGGGCTCAGAAAGTTGCAAGGTGTGACTGTCAGGAGTGGCCAACTGAGCATTCCTGGCCCCTGGGGAAGCAGAGACAAAAGGAGAACTTACTTGACCCCGTAGGCAAATATGGTGAGGCCGATCAGCACACCTATGCTGCCGTCCAGGTACCAGACCGCCGCGTTATGCTTGAACACCTCCGCACTCAGAAGAATGGAGAAGCCCATCACGCCACCCACGAGGGAGTTAAAGCCTGGAGAAACAGCAGAGAGAGGCTGACGGCAGGGCCAGGAGGACTTTCTTGGCCACCAGCGAGGCGACCCAAAGGCCAGGCTTCCCCCCCTGCTGAATCTGCAGGGTCCAGGCCAGTGTCCACACAGGACAGTCACACCCTGGGCGACTTCAACAGCCGGATGGGATCTCCTCAACCCTACGAAGTCAGATCCTTCCCCTCCAGGCCCCGGCCGGCCAGCTGAGGGTTTCCACTCCAGGAAAGGACACGCCAAGCCTAGAATTTGTGACAAGGCTGCAGAAAAGGCCATCGGAACCGGACTGGAGCTAAGGGATGCTGATGCGGGGCCACAGGGCGGAGCCGGGGCTCCCCGAGAGCAGGGTCTAGGTGAAGAGCAGGGTCAGCACGGGGCCGAAGCTGGGGCACACCCCCTTTCTTTGGACCGGGGTGCGGCTTCCTGTGGGCTCCACCGGTACCAAGAACCCGCCGCACCGGCCAGATGCTCCCTGGGCCTGGGACCCACACCGTTGTCCCGCGCTCCAGCTGCAGGCGATGCCATGCCCTTGGGCAGCGCCCCCCTGCTCCCCCTTCTTCATCCCTGTGCCTGGATTCCTGCTCCTGAAGCTTCGCCCTGGGAGAAGCCACCCCTCCATCTCCTCAGTCTCCTTCCTGGACCTCACGGCACCCACACCCCCACCCCACCCCCACACACACACACCTCTGCAGCCCCTCACGACTCTCGGAAGAGCCGTGTCCCCCATTCAGCCCGGCTCCCCCGCCCTGAGGTCACCAGTGGGCATGTTGCCACCTGCCCGGGTTCATAACCTGGGCCCCTCTTCGCATGGCTGGCTGGCCTCTCTCCCCTCCAGCCACCCCTTCCCAGATCCTTCCTCTCTCCCCTGGGGGGGTCCCCCTGTGCAATGGTGGGAACCCCTCCACCCTCCCCCTGCATGAGCGCCCGCCCTCCCCACACCAAAGTCGCCCTTCGGCCCAACCTTTCTGCTGAGCTGGGGACCCGCTCATAAGCATCTCAAACTGAACATATTCAAAGCAAAAAAAAAATCTCAATTTCTGCCCCCGAACACCTCACCCTCTCACTACCTTCTCTGTAAATGCTGCCACCATCCACCCAGCTGCCGAGGCCAAAAATTTAAGAGCCCACCCTTGACATCTCTCACACCCCAAGTCTCACCAGTCTGGCAAGTAGTGCTTACCAGCTGTGCCCTCCCCAGCTCAGCACCCAACCCCAGCACACCTGCCCCTTGACTGCACCCCTGCGACGGCCTGAGAACCCTCCCTGCTTCCCCCCCGGCCCACATCTCCCGCCCGCCCTACACAGCAGCTAAAGACCTCCCCTAGGAAAGCTGCCCAAGTCTGAGTAACATCCAAACTTCGAGACTAACAGGAGCAGCCCCTCCTGCCCCCCACCCCCCGCAGCCCGCACAGCCCTTCCCTGGGCTCCCATGCTGCCTCCTTCCCGGCTTGAACCCTCAGAGCCCCGAAGTGATTCCTCCTACGCATGCACACCCTCCTACCTTCTCATTCTTGCTGTTGGTTGGTCTCCAGGGAGCCTCACTTCCTAACATGGTGTTTTTACTATTTTTCTTTTTACAAATATCTTTCTTCCCCCACTAGAAGCACCAGCTTAAGGACAGGGATTTTGTCCCTCTCGCTGTATTCCAAGCC